GTTGGTGTTCATGTTGATGTGGTTGGTTTGGATTTTGTTGTGGTTGGTGTTCATGTTGATGTGGTTGGTTTGGATTTTGTTGTGGTTGATGTTGATGTAGATGTGGTTGATTTAAATTTTGCTGTAGTTGATTCTGGTGTAGACCTGAAGTCAAAAACTGATCATTTCCATTCCTCTCTAATTTGTTAATAAATTGCTTCATATATTCTCCATTTGGATCGAATTTGGCAGCTACTTGTTTTAATATTTCCGGTTGATGATTATTCAGGAAACACATCATTTTTTCGATCACTTTGCTTTGTATTTCAGTGCAAAGTTCGCATTCGTTTTTAATAGCTTCGGGAATCATACCTGCTACGACAAAAGGTGTGTTTAATAAAACTTATAGTAGTAAATCTATAATAAATGTAATCATTTTTGGTTAATTACACAATTAATTTAATACATATGTATCATAAATTATAATATATTTTACTATTAAATGATTTGAATGCTTGTGAAGAATAAAGGTCAAAAATGTATTTTTATTTATTTTGATTCTGTAAAGTATAACAAAATAAAAGTTTTATATTTTAATTCAGTGATGTAAATACAATCTGGTGGGAGTTTTCCCAGAATCAAAAAAAAAGTTACTATTGAAAAGCTAGACAAGTGGATACCTCTCTAGTTTCTACTCGTTAACTCCAAAAACCACACACTTTTGTTAAAATACATGACAAAACTTTTAGGAAGTTAAAATCGCACATTTATGATTTCAACATCAAAAAAATTGATAAAAAAAATTTGCATACTTTATAATGTAATTTCACTTCATGATGTAACACACCATGATAAAACACAACCAAACTACATTATCATTATTAAAAACTCTACATTTTTTGTATTTAAAATTGACAAGTAATAAACACTTGCCCTTTTTATTACTATCAATAATTGTAATATCAATTATAAAAATTCAAAAAATCACTTATGTTTTGACACTATATACCTACACGAGACCAATAATAACAAGTGGTGACTTAAGCTTAAGACGTGTAGCGTGATTATTGTATAATATCTTATAATCTTATATGTTTTTTTTATTCCTTATTTAGCACTAAAAATAGCGTGTGGCTTTAATTTACTATAAATTTACAATATGTTTTACTGATAAGGTGTGCAGTTTTTGTTCTATTTCATATTTGGGGTCAAAATCTAAAGTGTACAGTTTTCGAATGCAACCACTCTTCTGCACAGGAAGTGTCGAGTGGGTCACTGTGAACTATAAAGGATGTGCTAAATTTAAATTTAATGATATATCATTATACACGAAAAACGGTTTCGAGCGGAGACAATCTGTCAACTTATATCACTATAAGTACATATCATAAAATTTTTTTTTATACTCAAAATATAAGATTTAAAGACAGAACTGTTAAAGCAATATTTTACTATTAAATAACGGCAAATTGATTTGATTTTTTTCATAAATATTACATTTATTATATAATTGTTATTATTTACTTATTATTAATTATAACTATGCGTATGAAACATTTTTTATTCAATACTACATAACCGTAAAACAGTGTTAATAATTTCATGATATAAATTAATTTACATATTTTGAAAATGTCATTGTGTAAAGGAAAATTCGTACCATACATAAATTTTGAGTCCCTACAAATAATATTTTTAAATTATATCCAAAAAATGACGGTCGTCGTAAATTATGCAGTGATTTTGTACAAGGATAAACATTAAATGTGTATAAAAATTATAATATTTAGATTTTTTTAGATTTTTAGTTCCAGTAAAAATTATTTATGAGGACTATTGTATTAAATTTTCACGAATTTTAGGAAAAATTTAAAAATTTTCTTATGTCTATAAATAACTAAAAACGTCGAAATATTTTTAAAATTATGACATACATAAAAAATGATAATATACATAATTTGTTAAGATTTAAAGTTTCTATGGTTTTTGCATTATAATAAAATAAAGAAATCAATTTTGTTAAAAACTGGTTCAACGTAAACATTTTTGCTATTTTTTTTTTTTTAAAGGTATCAAAAATAATGTATCATCCAAAATTTAATATATTTAAAGAAAAAAATTCAACAAATAATAATTATCTGTTTGAAAAACCAAACCAAAATAAACTAACATTTTTTTTTTTAATTACATCCAATTCGAAATTATGTTTAAACACAAATATGGTATTTTAAGACACTTATTAAATTTGAATAGTATAAAAATTTCGTTTTTTTTTTGTTTGATATAATTTTCATTCTGTAAAATTATTGATGATAAAATTATTCGCTTTATAAAATATGATTAAGGAAAAAAATTCTAAATATTTATATCAAAGAATTGGTGAATATCAAATAAGTAAAAATTATTCTGATTGCGCAAAGTTACATGTTGCTTAAAAATCAATTAAATATTAAACATCAAATTTGCCGGCTAATGACATTACAAAGACAAATGGAAGTGAAAAATAGATAAGAAATAATGCTTCGTTGAAACTAAGAAGTTAACTGGGAAAAAAGACTTGCTTACCGTGAAACAAGTAATTTTGAAACTAATTATAATTTATTTAACAAGAATATAGATCATGAAAATTTTTTAAAACTTTTAATTTTTTTTTACGTTAATAAGATTCATCATTAAAAAATTTAGTGAAATAAATAAAGAACTTAAAAAACTTGGATTGAAATAGCAATTGTGAGTATCATTAGTAAAAGGAGAGGCAATTTTGAAACATTATTATAACTCAAACGACAATCAGTAATATTATGCTTAGTAAAAATATTAAATTAATCTATATACAATGGTCGCTGCTTATTATAATCAGTGATTATCAGTAATCACTGATTACATTAAGCGACGACCACTGTATCTGTATATAATACCATTGATTCTATAATCAATGCAGTAATACGTATTTTAAAATTTAAAATTTATTTATTCTAATACTATTAGGTGCATAAATAAATACATTGTGTACGCACACGTACAAACAACGTTTATATATTACATAATAATGAAAAAATATTTAAAAACAAGAAGACATTTATTAATACCCCCTTCATTTTTCAGGAAAAAACTATATCTATCTAAAACTTTGTTTTGGTTCTTTAAATTTTTTTTTTTTTTTACAACAACTAACAAACCTAGATAATACTAACGCACTAACTAGGTAAATTATGATATTATATATTAAATAGTTATGTTGTTTGTAGGTACGAAAAAATGAAAAACTGTCATGCATAAAAGTATAAAAGTATAGTTTACAGTTACAATTTATATTGGAGTGATTTGTTATTTTGGAACAATAAATGGTGGGATGAAAAATATGAGTTAAAAAAATACAGAAAATTGAGTTTAGTTGGTAATAATAAAAGATTGATTCTGATTTTCTTATTGAAAAGTAAAACTCCAGCATCTAACAACATGCGTTAGAAAAATATTACCTACTTAAAAATTGTAAAAAAAAATAGTGATGTTTATGGTATATCTATTTTAAACGAAACTAATTTGTTTGTAGTTTAATAAAAAAAAAAAAAAAACGATTAAATCGCTTTACCGTTTAGAAGGTTTCGTGTATACAGGAGTTACCCGTTTCCGTTAAAATAATATTAAGTACCCGTTTCCGCCATAGTCCTTTCCGCTTAAAACAAAAAAGGTACAATTTTCATTTCCACCAAGAGACGTTTTCACAAAAAAGAACTTAGGAAACCAATGATCTTAATTTTTAAGAAATATATTTAATGGTAAGTATAAAATATAGCAATGCAATTTGTAAATAATTGTGAAGATCATTGGAACAACAATATATCTAGCAATAATTTTCGATAATTTTTTATAAACGTCATTCGTCGATAAGGAAGTATAAACTGTATCATAGTTTATTTATAATTCGCATACAATAATTAACTGACAAAAATTAAATTTTTATATTTCGATTCAGTATCTGTTCTGTTTATTAAACAGTTGATAACGTTCTTAAAATGGAATTGATTGTAAGCGAAAGAGATAAAAAAATGTTGATTTTCGATGGTTTTAAATATGTTTTTGATTATACGTCAAAAAAAAAAATATAACTCGTTGAGGATATTTCATGAAAAATTGTACGGCCAGTATTTCGGAAAAAGAAAATGTAATACTTGAAACGAAAGGAACATTATTATTAAATGTCTCTTCACAAGAATAAATTTCGATGGAAACGGGAATCATATCTTTTTCGTTTTAGCGGAAAAGGGCTATGTGTAAATCAGGAAACTGGTTTTTTTTTTTTGGCAGAAACGGGCCATGCTTGTGTATACAGTTGTTACTAAGTTACTATTACTATTACCTATCCATTTGATTAGATACATTTGAAATCAATCATAAATAATTGCATTTGAAAAATAATTCTAAATAAAAACTATGTGCTCGCACTTAACATATTTCAAAGGACATTTTATAATGTAATTATATTACTCTTATTCATTTATTTAATAATTAGTTATACAGTAAACAGAACTAATTTTGATTAAAACAATATTTGAATATATATTATAATATCAAATCATATATTATTAAATTATTGTATTTACATACTAAACATATTTGGGAGTAAAAAAATCAGGGTCTAAATAGTTTAAAATTAATTCAAATATTTTGAAATATCATCATGTATAGAAAATATTACCTTAAAGCATAATGGTAAAAATTGCTAATCCTTATTTGATTATTTATTTATTTTTTTTTTAATTATAGAAAAATATCTAAAAATATAAGTCAATAAACAGGAATAATCTTGTATTTTATTTTTAGGCAAAAAAAAAATATTCGAAAATATTAATTGCTATAATTTACTTAAAATTAGTTTTAATATTTTAATAATTTTAAAAGTTATGTGAACCCTTATTTAACTTTTTCAAGATTTTAAGTTCGTATAAATTACTAAATCTTTAGGTCAAGTTAAAAATTCATAAAAAAATCTCAAAACAATATGTCTTTATAGTACCTATTCGCAGTTATTAATTTTTAAATTGCAATGAAAAGCAAAATTCATTTTGCCAAAAACTATAGTGTTATGTAAATTTACTTTTGACCAAATAATTGCCTACTAACACTACCAATTAGATCAATTTTCAACCAGAAACCTCTTCCAAAATTGAAAATTAAATAATTTTTACTATTTCAAAAATATAAAGTTTTTAATAATGCGCAAAAATTAAAAAAAAACACACATCTTTGTAAAATCAATACGTATATTCATTACTCCGCTTAGAATCTTAAAAATGCAGATTTTTGAAAGTTTTACACATATTTTAATTTAATTACTAAGTATATAATATAATATAATATAGATGTATGTTATAATTTTTGAACAATTTCTAATGCTTCTTCTTTTTTTTTTTTGCTTCTAAAGTATAACATTTTTGCTTTTTTAATGGCAACTAAATATTGTTTATTGGTTTTATTATAATTATATATCTAAAATATGTAATATTATTAAAAAATATCCCCAACTATAAATTATTTAAATAATTATTATAATAATTTAAAAAAATATTAATGAAAGATGTTAAATAGATTTATATTATACTGAAATTTTTACAAATAATAAAATATTTTAAATTTAAATACAATAATTAGTGTAATTTATTCTTACTATGAGTCATTCATTGTTTATATTTATATCTTATAAGCATTATAATTTTACATTTTTACCTATACCTAAAAGTCCAAAACATACAGAAATATATTTCATATTTAATGATATTCCTTGTTTTAAATATTTTAATAAATTCTAATAATCTATTGTATACTTACGTTTAATAGTATTAGCTTCCGGACTGCACGGTCCATTATCTAAAAAGCAATTGAGATAATTTTCGCGAATTCTAGAATTTCTCACCAATCTATTAGTAAAGCGGTCAATTGCATATTTTTGTTCTTCTTGCCTTTGATTTTGACCACCGTCTATCTGAAATTGTGGCAATGGATTACACAGCACCGTTGACATGAAACCCAAAATAATCGATATAAAGACCAAATTTAACATGTTTTTTTAAGACAATAAAATAATGTCGTTTGAAATAGCAGTTAGATGGATAGTTTATTCTTGTGATCAAGATTAATTATGCGATCAATCGATAGATACGCTGTACTTTTAAACGTGGCTGATTTATCCGGAAGTTACCTCTTTCTACTCTTGGGTTTCACAGTTCATTGAAGACGGAAACAATGCGGAACTGATTAACCGAAACTTGACTTTACTTTAATGTTCGAATACATTGGTGAATATGGGTAAGTAACTATAATAACATTGATTGTGTCACAACGTTTACAAACCATTATTCTTAAAACATTATTTGAGTTCTTGAAGTACTTTAAACGCAACAAACCTTCTAATTGTTACACATATGATTTTGCATGTTTTACAAAATAATTGAGAGTAAAATTAAATAAAAAATTAAACAACCTTGAAATATTCTCACGGCGTATCTAAAACGAATTTTCAATAAGATTCCTTGACCGAATTAACTCTTGTTATAATATTTTAACAGATTATGGATATTTGTAGATTCTTGTTCAGTACATTGTTATAAACGATCCAAGTAAGTACTATTTATTCTGTAATTATCATTAAATTATTTTTATCACATTTGTATGGTTTTTAAATCTATCAATTAATTATTCTTCAGAACTACATTTACCTTGTTTCATAAAGTGACCTATTTACTTCAGTAATATTGTATTTTAAAGTGCATATTTTTATGAAATATTTTATTACATAAGGCCATATTACAATACTGATAATACAGTGAGATATGTAATATTTGTCTAATTAATGAAAATACACAAGATAAAATAAAATTTAATTAAATAATTAATTTAACTGTTATAATTTATAGCCTTTTTAATTAATGTGGTATATATATTTATATTATAATGTTTGCTTTAAGTTTTATATTTTGCCTAATATGCCTAATTAATAAAAAATATATTTATTATCAGTAAAGGTTATTAATTATTGTAAATATATATCAAATTAAACTGAAATTATTAATGTTTAATATAATTTATGTTCTTTTAAAAAAAATATTTAAATTTATTATATCTATATTTTAACTATTATTTTTACAATCAATAAATAATAAATACTTAATCATCGAAATCTATTATCCTTAATAAGTTTAAATTAAATTTTTTTTACAATAATTGATATTAATTCCGCATTCATAATTTAGACATTAACACTATTTGAATTAACATAACTATAAAATTGTTCTATTAGTGTTGATAAATGACAAACTATGCAATACATAAATATTAAATATATAATACAAATAAGTAGAATAAACTCGTATAACCTATTCCTGTTAAAGAAGATTATTTTTTTTACAGTTATAACTTATTTAGACTAAAATAGAAAACGCTATTGTTATATCATGTCACCAATTCTCAAATTGTGCTCTGTAGAGCGCTTAGAGCTCCACATTTTTTTCTCAAGGACTCCGTTCGTTTTACCATAAAAATTTTATAATAAAACAATTATTAGATGATATGTGTTTTTAATTGGCTTTTATGACACCAGAAATCAATAAACTTTATTTCAAAAAGCAAGTACATTACTCACATTAAGACACACTTCAAGACATGTACATGTACCGTTGTTTTTTTAATAAACTACTATTTTTCAATAAATTTAACTATAATATAATATATATTATAGATTTATTCTCATTTTGTAGACATAATTTTAAACAAAAATTAATATCTTCTCCAATTCTATTAATACTATTATTTTATTTATTAATAAATATCTTATTATTTTTGTTCCTATATTCATATCATGTGTAATATAGCTCACAAAGCAAAGGCAACTAAAACTTAATAAAACTTAATATTAAATATTTTTAAGAGGTTCCGCGAGAAAAAATTGCTTAAAAAAAGGCTCCGTGGCTGAAAAAGTTTATGAATTGCTACTATAAGTAATTATTTATCTAGTTTTCTAATGATCAAAATTATAAATCTCATAAACATTTACAACAGTTGAATGTAAAATGTACACTGTACCTAGATCATCTTATTTCAAGTAACAAATGTTCAAAATACTACACTAAATAAATAAATTACTCTAAACGTTGAAATAATTAAATATGTATCTATAGACCAGAGTTCACCAATTAATATTTTTGAAGAGCCACATTGGGAATCAGAAAATGTTTCGCAGGCCATTAAAATTCTAAGTAGGTACATATTTTTAACATATAACAGGTTTTATTTTAAAATTGGATTTAAAGAAAACATTATTTTTTTAAATTATTATACACTATTGTTTAATTAATATTACAAAAAATTAAAAAATTAAAAATAAAAATAAATTATAAATACATTGAAAAAAATAAATTGTTTAGTGATATTACAAATATTTGAAAAAAATTCACATCAATAACACATATAATACTGTTATAATAATTTTATTTATTCTTTATCTGCGGGCCGGATAAAATTTGTTCGCGGGCCGTATGCGGTTTGCGGGCCACCTTTTGGTAACCTCTACTATATAGACTAAACAAATTAAAACCAGTTTAATAATCCACTTCATCTGCAATATATAAATATAATGGTTTACAATTTTTTTAGATAAATAAAACAATAAATAATACATTTTATATCTTTTATTTAAATTTACATTGTTTTAAATAAATTAAGTGTATTCTTTATTTTTATTTTACTAAGATTTCTACCTTAGTTTTATGGTGTTAAAATATCTTATAACGATATTTTTCGTATAAAACTAAGACTTTTTTGTACTCCCTTTCATTAGTGTTTTTAATTAGGCTTAAATAAAAAACAAAAAATATTATTATTATTTATTAAAATAAGTTTCGACACTTAGGCCATTTACTGACAAATATTTTAAAATGTTAATTATCATTGCATGGTACCAGTAACAGTAAAAAAGCAAAATAAATAATATCAATAGTACTGATGGGAAACTTAATAGTTTATAGGATAAATTATGAAGTATATATTATGTATGAGTGTCGAAATATATTATCATGTAATAATTTTATATCATAAATTTTAATACTTTGAAACCATATTCAACATAAAATGGCTATATATTTTATTGTCACAACTAGAGATATAGAGTTTTAATAACTTAAAAATACATAAAAATTCATTAAAAAAAATTGCAAAAATAAACTTAAAATGAGACTAAAAAATTTACTTAAATAAGTGAAAAGTTTTGGATTTCAAAACCATTTTTATTATGTAATTCTATATATATTTATAAACATAAGTAACAATTTGTATTTTTTTTAAGATTTTTTGAATTGTTATGTATTAGAGTAAGTATTTTTTGTTTTTTTTTCTTTACGATATAATACATAATTATAATATCAGATAATCATAAATGACCGTAAAAATTTTCAATATTAATAATATAAATATTTTTTTAAAAATTTTAAAATTTACTTTAAAATTTAAAATCTAAGAAAAATAAATTGCCATAATATACAAAATTATAATAAATGTCTTATACTATGAACAATACTATAAAAATATTAAAATTAATGTTAAAACAAAATAAAAAAAAAAAAAAAAAATGCATTTGTAGCTAGAAATTGTAAAAAAATTCAAAATAAAATACATATATTCTCAATTATTAAAACATAAAACAAATTTGCATCTTGGTTAGCAATGTATTAGATGAAAGAGAAAAGTAATCTACATCAAGTCTCTAATTATAATCTACTCATGAGAATCAAAGTTTAAAAATATATTACTTAAAAAGAAAACAATAATAGTTGTTGTGTTGTTTACAGTTTATAGTTGAACCTACAAACTATGATTAGTTTTTTTAAATATTATTTCTGGAATAATAATCAATGGATATTGTATGCCCTTGAAGTGTTATACAGTAAATTATATTGATTTCAATAATTTAAAAACTTGAATTGTTGAAAACATGTTTTGGTCTCATACTTTATCAACCCATCCAATAACTACTTTATTATACATATTGTATATGATTTTATCTCAATTAGCAATAAATGCTTAATAAGTTGGAACATGTGACATGAATAAATATAAAAGAGAATTTTCCTTAAAAATACATTATAAATTTACTTAGTAATGTCAAATTCTGCTGAAGAAAATTTCGAAAAAGAACCTTTTGAAGTATGGTCTATTTTAACTCTTCAATCAAAAAGTTTGATATATGTAAGTATGCAACTTTAAATGATAAGTCATATTATAAAGCGTGTTAGCTAAAATGTTTACAACAAATAACTTTTTTCTTTGTAAGAACGACGTATTTCTCGCTATTTGCTCCATGGCTTAAAACCAAACATAATGTTTGTAAGACATTCTACTTCTTTAAATGAACTACTTGGAGCAAGTGCACTCCTAGAGTCAATATCAGAACAAATTTTAGAAATTTATCTTAAAAATAAATTTATAGTACTTACTATAATAGAAAATTTTCAAAAACTCTTTTATTCAGTATAAATAAAAGTGAGTATACAATTAATGTTTAATATAATTGTATAAGTAGAAATAAAACAAATAAAACTTTGATATAATATAATATGAATAGATCATGTCCTAAAAGCTCCCTTCTCCCCCAGTTATTTTATACTGTAGTTTATATAACAGTTAAATATTTGTAAATTAAAATTTTATTTTATAAATTGGGACTTTTAAAGTATGGTGTATACCAAATATTTTTTCAAAATTTAATGTTTTGAAGAAAAATAAAAGTATTCTAAGTTGTATTATCACAACTTATATCAGAACATATATATATATAAATAATGTCACATCGAAGATGGCAATTCTAAAACTATAAAATACTCTTTAATATTTTATAAATAATATACTATTACTTATTAATTATTATGAATGAATAATAACAAAATCAAAAACAAAAATTTGATTATTACCTCATATATATTACTTTTTTATGTGTAAATATGATAGGTATTTAAAAAAATTATTAAGTATTATTTGAAAGAATACAATAAGTGTGAATAAATAAGAGTATTTATGGAATGTGCTATTTTACAAACAAAATAAAAAGGCATTGCTATAAATAACACAAAAACTATGTTATTTTTTATTAATTTAAACGTTAATGTTCAATTTCTTTGCATCTTCTGCATAACGTTGTTTGTATGTTCCTTGAGGATCGTATTTTGCTTCAAGTTGTTTCCACATATCATTTTTATTTTCAATTAGAAATTTGATGATTTTTTCAGAACCTAATCTTTGTTTTTCAGAACATTCTGCACATTTATTCTGTAATGCATCTGGTAACCATCCTGTAACCATATTATGTACAAGTCAAATATTAATCAATAATATATATTTGATAACATAAACATATTAATATAGTTGAGAATTTTTAAGCCCATAGAAGTTTCTTTGTTTTTCAAGCTCAATACTGAGTAGAATTTATTGTTAATTTTTACAACGAATCTAAAATAACGAAAAAGGTTTTAAATTAAAACATAATTATACCTTAATATATAGAATAATTGATATTAGATAAATAGACGATTTTTTTTAAATGAACAAACGTGTAATATTTTATTAATGAATAAAAATATATAAATATTTAAAGTTGATAAGACAAAAATGGTAAAAAAATTATTATTTTGTAACGTATGAAAATGATAAAGCGGTTTTTTAGTTTAATTGTTTTGCGTTAATTGATCAGCTTCTTTCTGATATGCTTGGTTGATTGCCCCATGCATTTCCGCTATAGTTCCCATTAATTCAGGAGGCATGTATTGAAATGTATTAGCAAATGCTGCATTCAAAACTTTAACTCCCACGTCTGTAAATAACTTATTTATGATGCACATTTTTCAAAGCAATTATTTTATGATTTCGTATGTAAAAATGTATAAATTGATAATTATTATTTAGTTAAGATGTTTTTTCATTCACGTTTCAGTAAAATATGCGTTGACGTAACAACGTAATGCATAAATTAACTATTGGTAAATTATATTTATCTCTATAAAACAATTATTTTTTCTTTTAATAAACATATATTATTAAACACGAATTACGTATAATTAGACGCCTACGTTAAGTATAATTATTTTATTTCTAACATAAAATTCATCAAATTGAATTATGCATTTTATTTTTAATAAAAATGAAAAAAAAATGACACAAATAAATAAAAATAACAATTGATGTAAAAGTAATTTTATATAATTATGAATTATTATAAAAGAAAATAATAAAAACGTTTATTGCAATATTATATGTAGCATATTTTATGGACGTATAATATTATGTTTTAATAGGTTTTTTTTTATCAAAAACCAATTAAAAAAATAAAAATGCTATGGGTTTTACAACTATAAATATTTTATTGGGAGGTATTGGTAAAGAAGTAATACAAATATATATTTAAGTTAACATATTAATTAATGTGTTCATGATAGTTTAATGAATTCTAGATATTAGCAAATTCTCAAAAGTTTAATTTATATATTTTTAATAATATCTATCTACTGCACTTATAAAACTCAGTAAACGGTCTTCGATTGATTAAATAAAATTATATTATTGAAAACATTATTTTTAAGTATAATTTTTTATCGCTATCAATGGATAATTAATTAATAAATTTAAAAAATAAGTAAATACTCACGTTTAACTTCTTCGCCTTCTGGAGTACATTTTCCAGTTTCCATCAGACACTTGAAGTAGTTGGAGACCAAGCGATCGTTGTTCAGAATTTCATCGATATTTATATTATCGTATTTAGTTGTATATTTAGCCGGTGCTGCCTGGACCATAATCGTCGTTATAGCGACGCAAATAACAACTGCTAAAAATTGTTTGATCATTTTGTTATGTTACGTTTTAGTGTACTGTATTCAAAAGCGAAAAAAACGTCTTATGGCGTTCAGGAATGAATTGTTTCTTAAGGTAGAATGGTTTTCCATTTTATATAGTTTCAAACTGATTACAATTCAATGCTAAATAAATATCTACATATTTCACAAAGACGTCATATAATATTACAAGGGTTCGTTAGTGTGCTAAACGAACCGAATCGAATATTTTTTGGAATTCCCCTCTATATGCATTGACTGGACATACATATCAGAAGTATCAGACGTATTTTTTCCAATGTAATGTAGCAGTGAATACTTCCATCACCTTGGAATTTATTTATTTCGGTCACACACGGATAAATAAAATATTAATCTTAAATAAACGTAACAAAACCTAATCTATCCGTGTATTATGCTTTGATTTTTAATTCATGGACATTACCTAAAACACAAATGTATAGGTTCTATTTTAAAATAGTAAAAATAATTTTGTGTTTTAAATATAGTATCAAATACAGCTAACTATTTGAAAAAAAAATAACGACGAACTATTAATATTTCTGAGGATTAATTAAGACTACTTCCTATAGCTTATAGTTTACATATTGTTTCCTTCTCCATTATTGTGTTGTTTATTAGTTTATTACCATTTTCTTGTAAACTATTAAATTATTTAATACCAACCTTTCCAAAATAATATATATATATATATATATTCAATTTATAATTCATACAATTTAAAAACATGCTAAATAATGTCTCATTACATTTTTGTTAACCTTTTTTATTTCCAAAAAAAAAAAAAAAATTTTTAATTGGTCGTCGAATTATTGTAATTTTGATTCAAAATAAATTGGCATCGGTCGGATTTATTTATTTAATCATGAAATAACCAAAGCATAGTTTAAATGAGTATAATTCATTTTTTGTGAATATACCAAAACATTACTTCCCAAACACAAAATTCGTTTTATAAAACAAAGTTTATGTCAAAGAGCTTAAAACTGATATTTTTATTTGCTTTTTTAGACTTTGAGTATACCTTGTAAAAACAAATACAATTTTAGAATATTGTTTTTTTCAATCGAAAAATTCCAATAAAATAATTCCAATAATTTAATTTTAATAACAACAGTACCTTATTATAGTTATTTTAAAATGATCGATTATAATGTATTAAAGTTAGTATTTATAGCTATAACTAGGAGTTGGTACTTTTCATTAAAAAAAGTTTTATCAGATTGAATCTTTAAGCTGAAAAGACTTTAGATTAATAGATAAATATTAAATAAAATAATTATTTTATATGAAATTAAGTAAATATAACATATGTATGTTGTATCCTTATCTTTATCTTTAATTTAAAATGCAAGATAATATATTTTTTTTTTTCGGAGAACTATATCAGAAGTTATTCAAACTGATTTGCGTCATTTTTGTTTTAAACGCAAGTGTTCGGTGTGTTGATGAACTATGAGAAAAGTTCAAAAAAATTATATTATTAAAGAGTCATTAGAAGTATTTAGTATTCTGTGTAATTATGTAATGACATTCAGTACCTGCCGCGTGCACGCACATATTCATAACCCCCACTACCTCTACGTTTATTGTTGTATTGTCATCGTCGTCATTAGCATAAGTTTTCTAATTTCTATTATTTCCTAAATTTATTTGTCAACATATTTGCAGTATGTTCGGTATTTGTTACTATGTACAAGAACTATTAAAACTTTGGCAGTCAATAATCACTTTATATTTAATGATATTTCTTGATATTAAACACATTACGTAAGTACAAGTTTATAAATATTAATGTTTTATATTTATACATGTATTTTTAGTTATTCAAAATATTTTATTTATTTATTTTTTACTATTCAATCCAACTATAGCGGTAATTCAGCTAGTTAAATAGGTGTTTTGGCTGAATCTAACTTAATTTTTTATTTATTTTTATTTGACTATTACTTATAATACATAATTTTAAAGACTTGTTTTATGTAAGATAATAATTAACAACTTATTATTTAAATTTATTATAAAATATTTAGGTAAAAATATACACAGCTACATGAATATTAGGTAATTGGTATATTGGCTTTTTTTTTTATTATTTACTTTGATGTAGTTTTATTACTATTATTACTATACTATACTATTTTTTATAATCAACGGAAGTATTTATGTTCGATATTTTAAAGTAATGATTATAGCCATTGCATTTTAATGATAGGATTTTAAGTGGAGAATGGTTTATTGCTTTATTAGTTTACTTTGGTGATATAAAGACAATTATAAATTTAATAATAAAAAAATAATAATTATAAATTTGATTAACTTTAATAAAAAAATTATTATTATTTCACTATTTTTATATATTGTCAAACTTTTAAGATCCCAAAAACTAGCAAATTATTTTAAAGTTAGAAATTCATAAAAACTTTTATTTTTATTTTTTAGTTTTAAAAATTTAATTTAAGTTGTTTCATAAGTAATTCATACTGAAACCATAAAATCTAAAAATGTATGTATAGAAACTTATTTTTTATAAACATTTAAATTTGTATAAAGTTTTCCAACCTTTATTTAGAAAAAAATTTTACTGGAAAGTAAAATTAATTATTCATGAAAATTTCAAGTTCAAATGTATACGACATTCAATATTTACCCGTAAAATAATTATTTTTACTCAAACAATGTTTTTATTTGTTTATACCTACTTAAAAAAAAAAAAAAAATAATAACAGTAGATACCTACTTAAAATATTCATCAATTACCTATATTGTTTATATAATAATTTTCATTGTATGATAACATTTTCAAAATATTTCTACTGTTTATAAATTATTTATATATATATATATATATATATGAGAAAATTTTTTTTAGTTTTTTCTATAACTATCGTTTTAATAATATTCAATATTTCAAAATTCTTGAAAATTTAATACAAGATCCTACATAAGTTGTTGTATAATTTTATTTCATAAGCATTTATAGTTAGAATTTTTAAAAATTCGTCAAACTCATCAAAATATACATACTATTTTATAGTTGAAAATTCATAAAAATTTTTTTTTTTTTATTTCTTAGTTTTGAAAATTTAATTTAAGCTTTTTCATGAGTAAAATATAAAAATTTATGTATAGAAATTATTTTTTATAGACATTTTTTGTTCAAATTCAGACAAAATTATTTAGCTATATAAACGATAAATACGGATTTTAATTATTTTCTTATAATTAAATATTTATGTTATATTATAATCGTGAGAATTTAGCACTTTTATTCATATAAAATTTAAAATTTTGAGATGTTAAGATATTATCTATGTATACTATGAATCTATTTTATTGTTTACGGTATTTATAGAAATATATTAAATTTTAAGTTATATTCGTTAATAATATATGGTAATAATATATATTGTTTTAATAATCAAATAGGTAGGTACTAATAATATAACAAATGTAGAATTTTTGAAAACAATTTTAGCAACCTACCGTAGTATTAAAAGTAAAATAAATGACTAATAGCTATGACGCTGTAATGTATATAAAAAAAAACATCGCAAAATATTGTTAATGATGTAGGCAAACGAACCGTCTCCATTCGCAATTGTTTTTCGTATCCAATCATTGAAATCAAATTTCAATTATTTCACACACCCATAAACACTAGACACTTAATATACAACAGAGCGGTATAGGTACCTGCAACTTATTTACTTTTTTTTTTGATTTTAATGTTTTAAAATTAGTTAACAGCTTTAGGCCACTAGTTATTCCAATGGCCATTGAAAAAAAACAACATATATTATTAAAACTGTTTAATAATAAATTATGTTATCTAATGCCTTTTATGCTATATAGTTTAAGCCTAATATTATTATACTTACCTCAAAATATTATGGCAATTCATTATCTTCTTAATAAAACAATAGTGATAATGAATAATGATTCATTTCATATGTTTATGATTTTTTTCTAATTTGAAAAATCTATGATTCCTAATTCCTATACTTTGTAAGTCAATTTTATGTATTTAATAATAATCATGTATTTTATTTAAATATAAAGTGAAGTAAGACCTTGATTTTACGCTTTCCTTTTATTTAACTCGTTGGAGTACAATATTACACATGTATTATTTCTACAACCGTGACACAGCAACAAACCTATAAAATTGATTTCAAGTCCAATTATTGACGATTACAATAACATACAAATATATAATAATTAAATAATGAAATCATTCACATATCATATTTAAATATTTTCCTCTAATTAATTTACTAGAATGGTAAATTAAACCAATGGTAAGAATATTTCTGGAAATATGATTAAAACAATTATTTATTTCAAATTAAATATGGATAATTCAAAAAGATGTATAAGTATTAAGCATGTTTACGTACACAATTTATAACTGTTCAATATAATATTGTGTATGATTGAAAGAGAAGACTCTATTTTAAATTTGAATTATATACTAATAAATAATAATCAATAATCATGAACAAGCAATTTATAGTTTTTTTCTAATTATGAGTAATAATAGTGCTGCACTGCTACTTAAAGCTATCTTAAGATATATCTGCAACCGGCTACATCATTTCAATAATACAACTTTATATATGTGAGTTCTCCATCTATAATTATTGAACAACTGTAATATATTAATATATTAATATACAGTGTATATGCATATGTGTATATAAAATACTAATTTTATATTAAAACTTATCTATGGTGTTACATGACTATACTTAGTATATTGTGAGTATGGTAAGTTCCAATGATTTAAATTAATCACTCATGCCGTAAAAATCAAAAAAAAAATCAATTAAAAAGAACCACGATTAAAACATTAATAATATAAACTTAAATTTATAATTCTCTACATTAATTACAATACATGGTACAAAAATAAATGGCTATAATTTGAAGCCAAAATTGCAAGATTTAATATCTAAAATTAATTTCTGTAAACATTTTTCCTGATATCACAATAATAAATTTTAAATTAAGTTTAAAATTAAAATTCTGAGGTATGCTAATGTGTAATGTTTATAATTATCAAAGTATAATTAA